GTATTTCGTGAACGTTGGCTTGCTATTTCCGGTTACTGCCTTTTGGCGTTTAACGATTTTTAGAAATTGTGTCTATATAAGCGTACCGCACTACCGCTACTAGGAACAAACAGAAATGCAGACAATATGCAAATTAGTACAAGAAGTAGAATAATCATGATCTGTGATTTCTGATCATGCTTTAATCTTGGCCTTGAGCAAAGAATTAAAACATGGGCCAAGGTCACAATTTATTCACATAAGTTATAACATTGCAATTATACCAAGCACGTGCCGTATTAAAAGACATATTACCTATATATATATATATATATATATATATATATATATATATATATATATATATATATATATATATATATATATATATATATATATATATATATATAGACCTGTATGTCCCTCCCCCCAAAAATGGGCATACAATTGTTGGGCATACATACTATAACACCGTTCATACATACTATAACACCGTGGGCATACATACTATATAACACCGTTCAGATTGCGATTTAATAACCACAAGAGTGCATTAAATAGATATGGGCGGGGGCAGAGAAATATTTGTGGGCAACAATTGTATGCCCATTTTTGGGGGGAGGGACATTCAGGTCTAAGTGATTTTTTAGTGCAGGTTATTGACGTCACGGACGTTAATAACCCCACTGAGAGGGAGAGCTTTTGGATTGAGAAACTAAATAGTTATGTCCCACGTGGGCTTAATTTAAGGGAAGAGGTTTAATTAATTTATGCATAGCTAAACGTTAGACTATTTAAGCAAGAGACGGAGATGATGTAGCGTTATTCTGAAGAAGGGGCTTGTCCCCGAAACGTAAAAATATAATTTATTTACTTTGAAGATTTATGATTTCTTGATATTTATAAATGAAGATTTTTTGGGGCTGGCTCTTGATATATATATATATATATATATATATATATATATATATATATATATATATATATATATATATATATATATATATATATATATATACATATACAATAATAAATCGTTGTCCGTTGTACAAAAAGAGTGCTCAATAACAAATTTAATTGATAGAGCAAAATATACTAATTATAATCTTAAAATTTTATTAATCGCTTAATAAAATTAAGCGATTAATAAAATAATTAAGCGATTAATAAAATTTTAAGATTATAATTAGTATATATATATATATATATATATATATATATATATATATATATATATATATATATATATATATATATATATATATATATATATATATGTTAGTTAATGTATACATTCAGTATATATTTCATAATTTCCAGTCTTAAATCCGTCTGACCGTGTAGCTCAGTAGGTAGAGCGTCGATCTAGTAATTCGAAGGTTGCAGGTTCGAGACCCAGCCGCGGCAGACAACATCTTTCTGCTTGCGCTGGGTATGGAAATTATATAATACACACTCTAGAACATTTTCATCTTAATATATATATAATATATATGTACTATTTGCACACGCGTAGGAGTGTTTTATCAGATATAAAACACGACGCGTAGCGGAGTGTTTTATATGCATGTGATAAAACACGACTACAAGTGCTTTAAATGGCTTAAAAAACGACTCATCATATACGAGTTCATTGGCGAAGTCAGTAATTTTTAAACTGATAAACTTTGTCTAAACCAAGAAAATCAAAGCTAAAGTTTATGTAAATTAACATGATTTTTTATCACATATAAAACCACGACACGCTTATGATTTTTCTTTGTGTTTTGCTCCTGAATTATTAATGAGTTTTTTAAATATATATATATATATATATATATATATATATATATATATATATATATATATATATATATATATATATATATATATATATATATATATATATATGAGGTAGAAATTTGCAATTAATTAAATTCTTAATTCAAAACATTACACATGAGAACTGGATTAAATATGTAGTTGAAGGGATAATATGATATCTAAAAAGATTCAACTCTGTGTGTGTTGACGTTTTTAATTGGTCATTTATATTCCAAATAGCTAGTCGGATTTGCAATTAAATCAGGAAAAGCATCCAAAGCCGATTCCTCGGAATGTGGAATAAGAGCTGGGTAAGGAGTATATAAAAGATTAGTGTAGAGCAATAGGTCAATCCTACCACCGGTTCAAGTCATATTATATATTTGAGCGCGCAATGGATACTAACAGTCTAACAGTATTAGTTATCACACCTCAACCGCAGTGCTTTAGTGAGGGCGAACAAACAAGTATAAATTGCGTGCGTCAATGCAACTGAGATTCGAATGTGAGGTTAATTGAATATTAGTTCAACGTATATCAATTGCCGGCTGGGCAAGACGGGAATTAATTTCACCAATTTTCCAATATTTGCCAACTGGCATTAAATAGGAAGACCACAAGCGTTGAATTTGATTTTATGATTTAACTCAAGACAAGGTGAGAGAGGCTTATTATTTATATTCTGCACATATGTAGTATATTTTCTGGCTGAACTTAATATGAAATATATCTATTCTATATAATATAGGGCCTATATCTATACACAATGTCACCCATGGATCACATATTATTTAGATGTAAGCTTATAATGCGCAGTAATTGAGTTGGTATCTCGGCATAAACATACGTTGGATCACAATGTGCCTATAAGCCCGCTTAGCCTAAGGGAAGCTAGAAACAACAGAAAAATGAACGTATTTTTACTGATTCTGTTTAGAATTGACAAGTTCCGGTCAATTTAGATCTATATTGATTTCTAAATGAACCATTAAAATAATTGGCCAAATGTCGAAAATTTTCTGCACGGCAAAATGTTCTCTCCAAAGCAGATAAACAAATGCTCTTTCCAACTAGATATATATATCATATAATGAAACGTATTGTCAGCACTACCCTTCTGAAATTGGTTTATTACTGATAACATGCAACTTTAATTATAACAAATCTACATGGTTATCCTAGAATTCTTTAACACCTTGACAATGGTTGCAGGTTGCAATTACTCCAATTAACGCCTTGATTCACCAATAGAATGATTAACAAAGATGGGGTCAAGTCTGTTCTTCTGCGCATGTGCTATGGTGCAAACAGTACCCTCGCGTTGTTTTCGACATCTTCTAAATCCAAACTCTAATCTAAATTCTTGACCCCATGCATAATTATTTTAACAATTATACGTACTAGCTGTTGTAAGTGCGAATTCATTCAAGACAATATTTTTAATCAATCGCAGACGGTGTTTGACGTGAAATAGTTTTCTGCAGAAAACTGTCACTCAGTAGCGCATATATAGGCGAACTTGAATACTTCACTCTTTCAAAACTGAAAGGGATAAGGACTCGCTCAGCCTAGATCCTCGCCTTTTCGCTTCCGCCTTTAATACTATTTTATGGTGGTATTTTGACAAGGTTTGCAGGTTGAAGGAGTCTCACACTCTCACTCACTCACTTAACCTGGCATCGCTAAATCTCGAAAATGTTGCCAAAACCGCTGCAATCTTCCTAATTGGGACTTATCACCATGTTATTACGCCAATCGGAAAGAGTGCAAAATTCCTTACGTGATTCAAACATACTCGAATCTTTGTTCTCGCATAGTAATCATTATATGTCTGGATTTTAGGTGACCCTTTTTTAATTATGTGTTGAATAATAAACTCGTTAGTCTATAGAATTAAACAGCTTAACAGCTGGAACTCTGGAAGCATGCGCAAGCAATGTTTATCTGTGTAATCTAAATCTTAAATTTGTGCGACATATGCGATCATTTTCTCTGGTAGTTGGTATCAATTACAACGTGATAGATACACGTTTCTGAATTTACACGTTTCTGATTTTGTTGGTTCCAGCCGCTATAGGATCCGTAGAATGACGCGAAAGTATTTTAACATTATATGCAAATCCTCGCTTCTCGCAATTTCGTTGTATGGTCAAAAATTCGAAACTTGTAGAATGACTATAAAGCCGGATCAGTATATTAACCGTTCAATACTAGCCGATATATTTTTACTTCGTGCTACCAAGAAACGATATGTGTATGCATCAACAGGGCGCGCAAACCTTTAAGCCAATTTACAATTGGTGCGCCTCCGACTGCAATGACATTAAAGAACATCCATGCAAGTGTGCTTTTTCCCAGTCGCTGAACTAATATTGTATTTGTCATCAATAATATATACATAACGAGTATAACGGACAATGACGCGTTCGTGTTATTCTTACCGTGTTTGTAAAGTACAATAATTTGTAATCTACGTGATGGCTTCGTGAGAACTATAAACAAATCACGATATTTTGCTCAACCAACCTTGCCCAATAAATGTATTATTAATTTAATGTATATAGGCGCTTTAAAGATTTCGATAGTAATTCGTCTGTCCTTAAAATGACCAAAACACACTGTTTAATAACGTGTCTTTCACCCAGCTTACCGTGTTTTTAAAGTGTGTGAAATTACAAGTGGGTTCTATACCACGATATAATCACGTCAATCAGATCATGCGAATATTGACAGACTGAAACTGATAATGAAGTAAAGATATAGGCCAACTGCCCACTGGACGAAATTTCGTACTAACACCACGAAGGACCTCTGCAGTGCATTCCCAAATTCCGTCAGTTACAGTAGCTGGTATTAAAAATATTCTAAGCAAATATAAAAAGGTATATATTTACAAATTCAGAGCTGAGCACGGTATGCCAGAAATCAGAAGGCTTTTATCTAAGGTGTCTAGTTGCATCTGAATAATTTAACGAAGGCCGGCTGTCAATTCAAATGTACTGACTCTGGAAATGTACTGACTCTGGAGATGTAAAACACTATAACATAAGTGATAAGATGAACTAATAATCTTTGGACTTTGCGCATGCAAAATGTTCTAAATAATTCAGATGTTTCAACTTAGGTCACATTGACGTCATTTCATCTTGTGTTTTAAGAAAGCATTAAAAGGTGACGACTTTCCTTAAGCATAACATTTTTTTCTCCGCGCCAGGTTGCGAAACAGCATCCGTGCAAAGACACATATATTGCATATTATATACTGTAAACTACGAATTTGGACTTGAAGTAGGTGTTGGTGTGGATGCTCGTGCTGAAGTGACTTAAATTTGTCAACAAATAAGTTACAAATAAGTTACAAATGGTCTTTAAAGGGATCATATTGGACAGTGAATCGGAGCTACATTTTGAAAGGTGTGAATTGCAAGTGTCAGGTTAGCGATGCTTTGTTTGTACATTGTACAACAAATATAAGTGAATTGTTATAACTAATCGGTTAACACTTGCATGTTTAAACCCGTTGCCATGCACCCGTTTTCACATTATTCCTAGAATCCTATAGGCTATAGCTAGTTCGAACAGAAACATAGAATACAACGAAGGTAACAGATTAAATTGTAGATGACTATCACAGTGAATTGGGTGGCAACCATATAAGATATCTATGGTGGTAACAGGCAATCGAATAATCGATTAAAGTTAATTTAATAATAACGTAATCATTGCCCACCCTTGTTTCACAACACACAAGACTGCACGAAGGACAAGAGTATTTATATTCGTCGTATTTTTCATTTTGTAACGTGATACATCTTAGACTTAGAAAATATAAGGGGAATTAAGTAAGTTTAATTAAAGCTTGGATGTCGACAACAACAACACTCGTAACTTCACTATATATAGAATTTGATGACGAGTTCCCACAGTGTATTTCGTTCAAAATGAAAGTTTTTCCAATTCTCCACGGTCTCTGTACGAGGGAGATTAGGGACTTTTACCTAGTGTACAAAAGAAATGATAGTGTACAAAAGAAATGAAGAACTGAAAGTCCCTCGGCAGTTTAGACGTCTTCCTTGCTTTGTTTACAACAAAACCCAGTTGCAAAGTCTTGCGCCAACGCCTGCCTTTCCGTTTCAAGCCATAAGAAGTTGTACTCGACTAATTGGCGTAGTAGTAGTCTCCTAAACCAAAAATGTTGTGTCTTTAGATCCTAAAACTGTTTCTAAATTCATTGAAAGAATAATATATACGACATGTTTTCCTTATTGTTAAAATTCCCCATTAAAGTTATTATTTTGAGGAAATAGTTTTGGAAGAACCAACAATCTTACTTCTGCAGTTTTATGTTGTGTATAGGCTGGACATATTTCGGAAAAAAATATTTCTATATCAAGATTGACCTTAGAAGTCCTTACTGACGTCACGTCACGGTCAAACAATGAATATTTGACTCACATGTATCCCACATTAATTGGTTTGCGTATATATGCCTAATCTTTACAGGATGGTTTGAAAATTGTGTGACGTAAGCACTTCTACTGTAGAGTCAATTCCAAATACAGGAACTATATACAGTATTATACGGGATCCCTTGCGGACAATTAGAATTATGACACTTCGACGTTTGCGGAATAATGAGAGTTGAAACACCAGATCTTGCACGTGTCACATATCAGCTATTTCACTCTCCTAAAATTAACCTCAATTTTGTATGGCCAAAATATAAACGGCTAAATCTATTGTTAGTATGATTGTATGATATGTGGTTCTTTGCAGCTGGCCTAAAAACGCTTGCATAACAATATAAACTGGCGGGCAAACATTAAAAATGTTGTGCTTTGTCTTATTCTCTTTGTTTACAAATCCCACAGCTCTTTACTTTCTATTCACGTATTGTTCTCAACTATTTTTAGCCAACCGTAAGAGCCTATTCAGACGCTAATATTCTAACGATGTACATACCAAATTATTTATTTCCAATAATAAACGCATTCTATCAAAACTTTTGTAAAAGTTCAACCTTTATATTATACTAAAGGTAAATATATATAACAGTATATATACGACCTAAATGGTCGAATGAATTCTCAGTAATGAATTTGATAAATTGCACTTACGAATTCGATAAATTGCACTTGAAAGTGCAGTTTCAAGAGATACTTTATTAGGTCATTTAGGTCTTTTCTTAGAATTGCATTATTTATTGCGTGAGAACAATCGAATGATTATTCAAATTTATGTGACACAGCGCACGAAACCATATCCGAGGGTCGAGAATTTTCGCAAAATCCGCATTTAATGACAATAGTACATGACTGTTTCGATAATGCACTGTTGCCATGCAAAATGAAGCGTATTTCAACGGAAGCGGCACATATATTCGTTGTTTATTTGTGATAGCATTTGTGCCAATACATCACTTTTTATCGTGTTATCAGCCGCAAACAGAGCTCAGTCAAGAAATCGACTTCCCCTCTTAGAGGTCAAGCAGCATATCAATGTTTGTGAAGAACCCTAAACAAATAAGATTGTATCTCACTGCCAACTGAATGTGTATATATAGCAAACACATTATTGGCCAAATATATAAGCACGCATTAAAGCCTTTAAAGGACGAAAAGAGTAGAATCGTCAGTATCGATTGGATCTATATATGCACAAACATGCATATATAGTGTGTTCTAACTCCATGTCGTAACCATTGCTGCGTTGGAATATGGAATTTTGTAAAGTTATTCTGTTATGAAAGGTATTATTTACGTTATTACTTCTTCATGTTATTACTTCTGAGACTATTTTAAGCGTTCATGCTTTCTTTTGTTACAAAGTCAAAGGCAAAGATTAACGTACTTCGTAAAAACAGATCATTCAAAACTGAAATCCAAACATTACACATTCAACTAATTTGATACTGAAACACGATTAGTGAAGCCTTAAGGCCTGATTCCACGGGCGCTTTTTCTCGGCGAAATGCGAAATATTTCGCCTGTTTCTTTTGAATTGTGGGCAATCAAGTAGAAATAATTTATTCGAGTGGTCGCAATTCAAAAGAAACAGGCCAAATTTCGCCGAGAAAAAGCGCCCGTGGAATCAGGCCTTAAAGGAGGACAGAATTAATTCAAAGCGTTAATCACGTTTTTGCTATCATATGATAGTTGTATTGCTTAATTAATATACTGATTGGATCCATGCGAAATATTAACGTTAGACTTTAATAATGTTTTGAGCAATTACAGTGTGGTTTCGGAACCTTAAAACTAGACTATTTAATAATACATCAACATGTTTCCACAATCTGTGGAAAACATGTTGATGTATTATTAAATTACAGCAATGTCCGCACTAAAACACTTGAAGTACTGAGTAAGAATAACCGCGGGATATGGAGGACAAGATCACGCACTGACGCAAGGAAAACGAAGGGCGCAAATCTCCGCTCTGCAGAGGCGTTTATTGTAATACGCTGGCTGTATACCCAGAAAATGTAAGGCATTCGGGTAATTGGCGAGCGTGTGCATGTTAAACGAACCAACTCCGCGGAGGAAAGAGGGGGAGCGAAAACATGCGGAGAGAATACCATTCGCCTGCACCTGTTTTGAAGGATATTTGTTGACCATGAATTTCATCGTTTCTTAAAAATTCCGTTTTTAATCTACAATATACAGTTGTACATAATTGTATTCACCGATCCCTGCTTACAGTTTTTGCGTCATTTGGGCTTTAATTAGTTCAACACTGCCTCCACGGAAACATAACTTCGGGTGCCCAAATCGTGCTCACTCGGCCTGTAAGGTCCTATATGACAATGAGACAACATAAGGTGTAACTTGTAAGGTCCTATATGACAATGAGACAACATATACAAGTCATATGTTTGTGATGTTACTCTGAGTGTATATCCACACCGGGCAGGCTTTAAAAATATGCCTGGCCACGGTGGGAATCGAACCTACGACCTTTGGAATACTAGCCCAATGCTCTGCCAACTGAGCTAAGCGGTCAGGTCGGTTCGAGCATGTAATATTTCGGAACTGAGTCTAGTTCCATCGATATCAGTATAATCTAATAATCATGATATTACATGCATGATATTACATGCTCGAACCGACCTGACCGCGTAGCTCAGTTGGCAGAGCATTGGGCTAGTATTTCAAAGGTCGTAGGTTCGATTCCCACCGTGGCCAGGCATATTTTTCAAGCCTGCCCGGTGTGGGTATACACTCAGAGTAACATCACAAGCATCTTATTCACCTGAGTACATTACACCAAAAACAGCAAATATATACATGCAAGTCATGTTTTATTTATACGAACGGCCCTATATATTCTGTTCTATCCGTTTTGGGTATATTTAGTATTATAAACGTAATTATATATTTCCGTTCTCGTTAGCTGTCACTCCCTCAGACTAATATACAGTATTTATATATAGAATATATATTTCCCCTATAATTATATGGGAAATAAATTACTTCCTATGTTATTATCAACCTAGCTAAGAAAATACTCTATATATCGCCACCATTTATAATTTATATATACGAAAGATTTTTATCTCTCACATGCATGCACTATATAGCCACAATCTTTGCCAGAAACTATGGGACAGCTGCTGTAATTTCATATAATTTGAAAGGAATAGCGTCCCCCCCCCCTTCCCCCAGTTCAATGTTGGGCCAACAAAATGTATCAGGAAATGGTATATTGCAACCGAATGCATGTGAAAACTAGATTGTCCCAATCTATATTGTCAAAGATTGTACATCCAGAGGATGAAATTATGAAAGGCACTTAGGCACTTTACAACTCGTGAGTGTAATGTGACAATCCGCCTACCAAAACTTGTTTGTCATCTATTGTATTTACATTTGTGTGTCGTCAGGGTGAGCAAGTCACGTTTTCTCCACAAATCCAATTTGCCGTCAATCTTCCGACATCTTCGCACGAATATTAAAACTTAACAGATGAACTGTGAAGCACCAATTAATAATACTATAAACTCTATAATTATAATCCAGTTGCCCTTGCCCTAGTTGTTCAAAACTGTCGATTAGCGTTAACTGTGGGTTAAATTTAACCCATTGCTTTGGTTTATTAATTATTTATATCTATACGTCAAAACTTCAGAAAATTAAACTTCTGATGATCCGGACAAGATTTCTGAAAACATTAAACAAGCCGCTAGAAAGTTTGCTTTGAATTTCACGTTAATCCATGGTTAAGCTAACTTGCATTGGAACAACCAGTCCCTGGTCTATAAACGTGGAATAGAGGAACTGATCATGAGTCGAACAAAGTCTGTTTATCTTAAAACTTTATGAAAATTAATATCTAGAATATTGAAAATTTTTCTAATTTATTTTTGTTTCAGCCAGTTATTAATTATGGTTTGGGCGTTGTTATAAAACACAACTGTTTACAATTTATAGGTAATAATAATATTAAAGGTTGATAAGATTTCAGGTTAGTTGAGAGTGCATGCCTTAACACAAACAACATTAGTAAATGTAATTATTTAAAAACTTAAGATACTGATTTAATTAATTAGGGTTCTGATCGATCATGCATGCCTGGTGAGACAATCAATTTCTAAAGAAATTAATAATGATAATAATTTTGAATTTGCATAGCGGGAATAAATTGTTGGGCTGACTACGCCACCGGGCATGTCCACATACGAACATAGTCATAGAAAAAATTCGTGCCATAGAAAACACAAAAAATAATAATCTTGAATTTCTCCATTCAAAGACCAAGGACTGTGGAAGGTGCCAACCTGGTACCCAGGGCCTCCTGCTGAGGGCGAAGGCCCTGGTAAATGCTGGTCTCAAACACTGAACTATATAGCAATATTTTTAAACACAAGGCGATTCGAACGGGGGGAGTGTCTGACAAAACTATAATTATTTTAAAAAAACATGGCGTCGATCAATGAGCGCCAGTGATGAGCGCCCTGCGAGGACAAGATGAATTCTTTTGTTTTCAATGAATCTTCAAGGTGAACTGATATACATCGAATATAATTTAATTAGGTGGGTAACCAAACTGACTAATTTTTTTAATCAATATATTTGATACAATCCTATGATATTTAATATTTTATATACAAATTAATATATGGAACCATTGCTCTTTCTTTAGAAGTACCGAGTACGAAATATATCACAAAAATTACTGCCATCATTATCATAAGAACTCATTATTCGTTGTGATAAACTATGATATGAAAATTTACAAAAAGTTACAGTCATGAGGTTATTTTATGAGAAAAATATCGACTTCTATCACCGATTTTCAGCTGATTATTAATATTTTGAATTAATATCTGATGTAAATATATACTGTAATTGCTATATTTAAACGTGATCTATATGTACTGTTGTCAGTCTAATCTTGAATAAACATAATACATTGTGCAGACAAATTGCCCATTTCAGTAGTTTATTTGAATGTATGTAGACAATGAAACTGTTTTCTATTCAGCCATAAACAATAGTAAGAATGATTACTTAATTATAATGTCATTGGAATGATAATCCTCCTAAAATCTTACCTAAACTTTTTAAAACTACACTTAAATAGCTAATCTAATTAATTATATTATACTTGTAATTTTATTATACAGGGTGTCCCAAAAAACCCGAAAACTATTGAAATCACTTATTGTCAAAATTTGAATGCTTTACCAAAAAGCTGAACGTAATGATGCATAAAATATTGACAAGATGCATGTATTAGAATCATAGTTAAGAACATCTCCTTGTAAAGTGCAAGATTTTCTGTGCTTGGGAATTTAAAGCAAATTTAAAGAACAGTTTCTTTATGCATAAAATTTACTTATGTCAATCATTTATGCACTCATGGGAACCAACAGAGTGCTAAGGCATTCAAATTCTAACAATTGTTATTGGTGATTTCAATAGTTTTTGGTTTTTTGGGGACACCTGTATAATTGTAGTATGTGTATTGTGTTTCTCTTTCACCATTCTCTTTCACCATGCAATATAATGGACCAGTCATTAATAATGGGCGGGAGAGGTGGGTGAGAAAAGGGAGATGGCCTTATGTACTAGGGGAAGATTTACTTAAAGTATTTTCATAAGAGAATAAAAAAAAACATTGACCATGTACCTGGTATAAATCAACAGACTGATGTAATATAAATGACTTCAATAATAACACTGTCCCAAATGAATTTTTCTGTGTTGGTGTATGTAGTGTACTCAGGTGAATATGATATTTGTGGTGTTACTCTGAGTGTATATCCACACTGGGCGAGCTTGAAATATATGCCTGGCCACGGTGGGATTCGAACCTACGACCTTTGGAATACTAGCCCAATGCTCTTCCAACTGAGCTACGCGGTCAGGACAGTTCGAGTAAGTGATATTTCGGAACAGAATCTAGTTCCTTCAATACCAATGTATTCTAGTAATATGAAAAAATTCAGACCAACAGACCAACTGTGACCCTAACCACTAACCATCTCCCTCTATCAACTGTCCTTATATAAACATCTAATAATTGAGACAAGTAAATTATAGCCAATTATTGCCCACAAATATTAACTATTATTGCAAATAAATCTTCTGCGTGTTTGATATCCCATATTTCATACGAACTAAATAGATCTGATGATGATGTGAGAAACTTACAATTTTCCACAATTGCATC